GAAAAACTTGGAAAAAATTATATTAAGTGAAGTAAGCCAGGCCCAAAGAAACATAGGTCCCATGGTTTCCCTTATTTGCAATATCTAGTATATATATGAGTCAAGTGGAAAAGGTCAGATAATGTGATGTTAGAAAAATGAACCCTTAGATATGTATTTTAATGTTTGTTTTCTTTCATGCATTTGTTTCTAACACATTTATAAGATTATTTCTCTGTTGCTTTGTATGTCCCTCCCCCACAGTATAACCCCTGCTTTCACTATATTTGATGTCAGTATAACTTGTGGAGGAGATGGAGAAAAACAAGTCGTTTAAGGATACAGGTGGACCTGTTGCAACAATGAGAAGCACAAGTTGTCATGTCGAAAAACTAGCTTTACAACGTTGGTGCGGGGCGGGGGGGGGAGAGGGGGAAGGAGGTTGGGAAGGGATGTGAAGGGTAAACAAAGGAGGAGGCTGCAATTCTTGATAAGAAATGTACTCATTATCTTGCCCATGTAATTGTAACCCCTCTGTACAGTATGTTCACAAAAAATAAAAATAAATAAAAAACTAAAATGTAAAACTGTATGCAATAAATAATCACATTACGTTTAAAAAAAACTTCCCTAAACTCATAACCATGAAGAAAAATTATGGAAATAATTCTGAATAGGAGATTATAGACTAGAATTATATATTTTCTTTTACTTGCAGATGTCTCCTACTTTCTCAGATCTAACTTTCCTCATTTGTCAAATGCATATATAAATTTCAGAGAATAAAGTCATAATCACAAACTAAGAGAATGCACAAAAGCTGTGTTCAAATGCCAAGGAGGTTTTTGTTGAAAAAAGAGATACTACTAACAAAGTAAAACAAGGAAAGTAGAAAATTACCTGCTTCGATAATTTACATACATACCCAGATTTTATATGTATCCCTGGAAAAGGGAGACAGTGTATAATGCCAAGTTTTAATATTATTATTTAGAAACAAAAAAGTAAACCAAAGACAAAAAACACTTTCAGATTTCCAAAGAATATCCTGTAAGAGCACCTAATATTGATTTGCAAATAATTTATTGATGCCTCCAAATGTTCTTCCCTTTATTATATCATATTATCTTTTAATTATGAGCTTATTTGAGATTTGCCTGAAATATAGTG